TGATGCAATCTCAGCTTGCATTATAAAGGCTGCATCCAGATACTATTGTTTCCCCCACAGTCGAAAGACATGTGGTACAGGTGAATTGGGTAAGCTAAATTGTCCATAGTGGATGAGTGTGTGTGTGTGAATGAGTGTGTGTGGATGTTTCCTAGAGATGGGTTGCGACTGGAAAGGCATCCGCTGCGTAAAAACTTGCTGGATAAGTTGGCGGTTCATTCCGCTGTGGCGACCCCGGATTAATAAAGGGACTAAGCTGACAAGAAAATTAATGAATAAAAAAAAAAACAGTGGGGATAAAATGGTTAAATTGCATCACATGCCTCCCTAAATTTCTCTACATTCATACCTCCTGAAGCAAGATTGCAGTAAAATCATCTAAATTGACATGGAACATTGTTATTTGTATTATTTATAGTTTAAAGCCTGTATTCATGTTTATAAAAGCATGAAAGAGATTTTGTGCTGTTTTATGCTATAGGGGTGTATGTCCCCACTAATGTCAAGAGCAAATCTACACTCTTGACACTCGGTTATCACAAAAGAACAGGATTATCATAGACTTTTTACCGTTTGTTGCTTTATATGGTCTCATTTAGTTTAATTAAACAAAATAATGAAGTGTATTTGTAGTAGATCTTGCACAGGTTTATACTGAAGTCCAGGCATACACACATAGGTTTACGAGAAAGAATTACAAAAACAGCACTGTTTTTAATGGGGGTAGGGGGGGGAGAAGTAATACAATCAATGTTTTAACAGGCACAGTCTAATCTGGGGAAAAATGTATAAAGAATAACAAAACACATCGGTGTGTTTTGGATGTTTGCTTATTATTAAAAGTATCATAAAAAGATAATCTGTCAATCTAAGAGAAACCTGGGAACGGCTGAAGTGGTTGTTATTGTTATCTTTTTCAAGGTTTAAATGGTCATGAAATTGTAACTTAGTGTACGGTTACCAGGCTCACATTGTATTGGTGGAAATAATGCGAATCTTCAGAGCTCAGATGTCTCAGTTTGTAACCGAGTGAAGCATTTCCTCTTAAATAAAGTCAGAATGAACATCCGGTGAATCATCTAATTAGCCATTCATTTCCACTCAATGAAGAGATCTTGTCAGTCATGTATCTTTTTTACTCTTTTTTTTTTTTTATAAAAAAAGAGGGACATAACTAATAATAATTAGCACATTTACTCCATTTTAACACATCTACAGATATTCCAAAAATATTGAGAATATAAGGACTGCAAATTCTGCAATTCGGAATTTTCATATATGGTATAACTTATACCCATGTGAGCAATTAGCGGATCAGAGGCTCAATTCTGCATGCCTGAAAAAAAAAATCATGTATTTATTTGTTTGTTTATTTATTTTCTCACGTCTCTTCCAAAGTACTCACCAGACATGCACATTCAAAAATCATTCTTTCAAATAAGGACACAAGCTCAGAGTCAGATATGGGAACAGTGAGATAAAGATTTGGTAAAACACCTGAAATGTATCAGATTTCCAAAACTATGAGGGAGCTGAAATAGCATGAAGCTAATGCACAGATCAAAGTTCAGAGTTAGACAGCTATATATGACTTTTTTGTGGACCACTGATGATAAAGTATGCTTAAGAGAATGCGTAAGATAAGCTGACCTCTTTCAGCACAGGAAAGCATGTCTGTATATAAAGACTTTTAATATAATATGAATAATTAGAGCTGAACAAAAATCCAATTTGGAAAGTGTTTGAATTATTATATATTTTTTGTTTGTTTGGAAAAATCATTAAAAATGTCTGTACAACTGCATTTAACACGTTTACTTTTTACTAAATTTTCTTCATTAAGGTAAAAAGATTAGTTTTGTAAGCAAAACTTTGCAAGTTCACCCAAAAAAGCTTCTGTCAACTTTAAGCTGAGTTAATCTTAGACCTCCTCACTTGAATAAATAAAGAAACAACAACAAAAATAATATAACACCAATATTAAAATTAAAGTCATTATTATTAACAACGACAACAAAATACTACAACAATAATGCTAGCGTGATGTAACAAAATTATTATTCATTTGTAATATATCCTTATTTTGTGGGTCGGGGGTGGGGGTGGTGTGGTTGCTGGTGTACAACGCTTAGCGCATTTAATTTGTGTTTACCTGTTATGTATATATGAGCAATATCACACTCGTAGCAGTGCGATATGGCTGTATATCGGCACTGGTGGGAGGTTTAGGGAGGTTTAGCCTTAGTTCCCCCACCAGTGCCAATATACAACCATATCGCACTGCTACGAGTGTGATATTGCATTTATACAACAGTTTGATGGCATAATTGTGTATATAAAAACAAAATAAAACATGGAGAGTCTCAAAAACCTTTTTTTATGAGGAACTACTGTCTTCCGCGTTGGATTCAAATCATAAGCTGACAGTTAAACAGCTGAGCAAGCATCTTTTAAACTTTAGATCTGTAGTGTCTGCTTTTTGCTGGCTGTTTGTGGGCGGAGTAATACACAAAGGGTAAAGAGGCTGTACGGGTGCTGATATTACTTAAATATATCACGGTTATCAGCCAATCAGATTCTAGAACCAGACAGAACTGTTGTATTGACCTTATTCTCCGCAGACGAGCGGGCGCTGCCATTTGAATCTTTTTGGCACGAGACTTCCGGTCTCATTCACTTTCATTCATTTTTAGACATTAAAAACTGATCGTTTCGCTGGTTGATGTTGTAAACTGATATTTCCTTGTTATATTATTCTACTTGGTCTGTATAGTCATGCAAACATTTGCTTGTAGAGCAAGTAGTTTGACCGTTTTTTGCCGTTTATTATTCCTTGTCATTTCTCCCATAGGCGACTGAAATGGAAGTTCTAAGACAATCGCGAAAACAGGCGCACTTCCGCATTTTAGAATAAGGTCAATATATATATATATATATATATATATATATATATATATATATATATATATATATATATATATATATATATATATATAGGGTTTGATATTAACTTTTTCATCACCAGCCACTGTGGCTAATAGTTTTCCACTGTTACTAGCCACTTGCCGTTTTCACTAGCCACAAATTTTTTTATTGGGAAAATAAATTTTATATGCATACATTTGACTTTGGCACGGGTTTTGGCATGCTAAAATTACATAATTTAGATTTTGTGTTTTTTCCACTTGCCTCCTCGTTCATTTAACTGATTTTTGTTTATGGGCTTACTCATTGAGCATGAGCAAATTGGTCATGCTTTCATAAAAAAGTGTCCCATTGCAATGTTTTCTTTCACAGGACTTTTCAGGGCTCAACACAATAAGGATTTACTTTTTTTCTCTGGCCAAACCAAACTAACTATTTCCTTGCCACAATTTTTAAATAAAGTGTCAAAACGGGCAAAATACTGTTACAAGTTTCCAGATCACAAGTTAACTATGCATACAACAACATATTAAAGCAATATTATAGTAAAGGATGATTATTAAACTATATTAACAAAAATAACAGCAAGCAAAAGAAAGCAGGTAAAAAACATTCTGTGCGCGATAATGAAAGGATGATGGCGCGCACACGGTTAATGTTTGGCCAGTTAATAATCTGTTCAAAGAATGATTAAAGCGAAAGCGACAACAACTGCTGCTGCTTACAAAGAATCTCGACCCCTTGAAGGACTGTGGGTGCACGAGCGTCAAACTAGTTTTGTTTGCAGGCATGGTTGCTTCGAGTGAGGAAATGGCACAGGAGCTTTTAAACGCTCACGTGCATCAAATCATCTGTGCGCGCGACACTAAAGCCCTCGTTAGTGAGTGAGGAAAGCCTGTCTCGCCGTGCGCGCGATCCTCTCATTCGTTATACACCTGCTTTCTTTTGCTCGTGCGAAAAGCTGTTTTTGGCAGTAGTGCTGCTTCTCGAGCCAGCATATATATATATGCAAGTTTTTTTTCTATCAAAATGAAAATGTCAATTCTAATGCCTATAAAGATCAAATAATAAATCAAACTTTCAAAACAACAACCCAAATGATGGATCAAACGCTCAAAGAATCAAGTAATAAATCAAAATGCATTCTCAAATGAGAAAATCACATGTATTTGATATTTAATTTTCATGAAAAACTCCTGTAAAAGCATGCAATAGTTAAATGACTAATTAAATGCTCAAACTATAATTCAATTGGAAACAGTTTCTGCTTCCTCCTGATTACACACACATATAGCTGGAAGCTCATGATGGACTGATTACTAGGACTATAAACACACCTCGTTCTTACAGACTCTTTGCTGAGTCTTTTTTTTTCCTGTGAAGCATTACAAAGCATTTTTCCCTGTTTGTCCTGCCAAGTTTTGATCCTTGTCTTGTTTACCGTTATTGTTGTTTTGCCTCCTGTCTTGTTTCTAAAGCTGCGATCACACTGCACTTTTCTTCTCATAGACTTCCATTCATACGCACGCGAATGCGTCACACCGGAAACGTAAACTCGTTTGTTCACTGAACTTCAGACATTTTAGGTCAGCGCAACTGATGTTTTCAAAATTTGAGTGAACAAGAAAAAGCGAAAGGAAATAAGGATTATGTTTTATTTGTTGTACTGGCTTAAACATTTTTACAGTGTACAAATGAGCATTTTTTTTCTCATGCCAATGGTTTAAAAGTGCAGAATCAGATTAATGCCAATTAGGCCTGTGTTTATACACAAAACAAACCTGTCTTTGTTGATGGCAGCCTTCAGTGCAGAAGAACTGCGTAATAATGTCATACAGTGGAATTAGCCAATAAAATGTATCATAACAATGATAACACAGTCAATCCCTATTCCAGTTCATTGCTTTAAGATTTTGTAGTGATTTCATTATATGTTTGAGGATCACGTCAAAGAGTGAACTGGGATGGGGTTTTCAGTTTTGAGCTTTCAATGAAGTGTTCACAAAATGTGATACTTGTTGACTGTATAAAACATTTTAATAAAGTGAAAACCTCTCTTTCCATTTGTTTTGCAGGCAAAGGGGATATTGTTTTAGAGAATGAAGTTGTCCTGACGAAAATGAAACTCCTCAACAACTTTCCTGAGAAACTCCTAAATGGTGAAGATTCCATTTCATCCATCTCCATTTCAATGTCTGAGCAGGAAAACACAGAGCCTCTCCAGGCTGACGACGTTATGTCCGTCCACAGTGTTGCTCCTGAAACAACAGTGCCTGAAACCAAAACAGACTATCTATGTTCGATATTTGCTGATTCTGGGCTTCCGAGATTGTACAAATTTGAATCTGAGGACTCTGGGGTAGAGATGACTAGTGGAGCAACTTCCCCATCCACCCCAACTGGTTCAGAGCAAAGCTTTGTGGTCCACAGCAGAGAGTCTTCATGCGACTCTGGCAACCTGAACTCTCCGTTATCTGCTGACAATCATCTCGAAGATAGTTCGGTCTTTTTGGAAACTGAACAAACGTCTTGTAAGTGCACTAAACAAGATTCTAATACCATTTTGGGAGATAGAACAGAGGATGAGAAAGCTGAGGACAACTTAATGGACATCATTACAGATTCAGAAAGGTCTGAGGATAGAGCCCTGAGGAATACCACAGAGAACTGTAAAACTACCACTGAAATCGCAACAGTACGAGAGGAAATAAACACTGCATTGGCTGATGACACCATGTCAAGGAGTTCTGCCGATCATTATGATGGCACGACAGGACCTGAATTTCAGCAATCGCCTTTGAGGAAAAGTACAACCAGCGACAGTCTGGATGAATATATGGAGGAGTGCTGCAGGTTAAGTGAGGTAGTAAAAACTATTTACATGCATTATTGTTATTTACTAAACATCCTGGTGTTACATCTGCTTTCACACAATCAATAATGATTAGTCATAGTAAGCTAGCAAGAAAGTGGTACAAGTATTAACATTATTCCCCTTTATCCCAGATTGCTATACATTACACAGTATTTTTTGAGACTGTATCCACTAGGCAAAATACAAATTACGTAACTTTTTGAGTATAAATGTTGAGCTTTTTCAGAGATTTTTGCATTAAGATTAGTGTGAAATGCTCTTTCTGTCAACCAATGTTTGTTTACCACTGCCAAACATGACTTGACAACAGTGTACAGGTTATAGTTTTTCATTTATCCTAATTGCAACTAGAAGATTTAAGTAACTTACTGACATTTATTTGAATGTGCAGTCTCAGACAGTGAAAATAACCCGTTTGTGAATGAAATGAAACGTCAGGATGGTGAAATGAATAGCCTGTGTTTACAGTTCAGAAGCACACACACACATCCTTTCTCATTAGCCCTAATGTCGGTCTTCCCGCATCTTGACGTCATCAGCTCATCACTGAATGTGCATTCAATGACCAAGAAGGAAAACAGGATAAATGCCTTCCTGTGGGTTGTGCTTTTTTTCTAAACTAAATGCTTCTTTCAGCATTTCTGCTCATTTTCCAAATATAGCGCTCATATGGCACACCTCATCTAGCTAACAGACGGCTTAACATTTTAATATTCTAATGAATATTATTTACATATTTCTTTCAATATGATACTAAAAAGTGTTTTCTAAGATATGCAGAGTGAAATATTTAAATAAAAACTAGAGTATTGACATAATTGATTTAGGTCAGAATGGTACGGTAAACTATTTGCAGTAAAATGTCACCCGTACTACATTAAATTCCAGTTTTTATGTTAAAAAAAGATAAAGTTGGCATGTGTTGCCCACTGTTTTTTCTGGTGAATTTTATCTGTTTAACTGGCATTTTGAAACAAAACACTCAAACCCAGTTTAACCAAAGAGCTTAGAATGACGAAAATCCGACACTCAACAGAAAGTTTCATTTAAACAGCAGCGCCCAGAAACAGCCCCGGATTCCGCCATTTTGGAGTGAAAGTGTTGGGCTGTCTATTAGATCTCGCGATGGCAAGCAGCTGCTTTGTTTTTTATTTATTTATTTAAAAAGTGCATTAAAGCTGAGATACACCTGAAAGACGACAATACAACACTTACTATCACAATCATCAGCACTTTTAATAGTTTTATTTGACTTATAATATGCTGTTGTTCTATTGGAATTTTCAATCCAAAATGGCTGCCATCTAGTGGCTGTTTCCAAAATCGCACTACAGTGTCGCTTCTTAGTGATTCTATGCTCTTTTTGGTTTAACCAAAGACTACAGAATACACATGTCACTCCTATACTTTTGAAAGGGGAAAAGGGTAACTGTCAATATGGCGATTGAAGCCCCGCCTTCTATTACAGGAGCCAATCATTCATTCATTCATTTTTTTGTCGGCTTAGTCCCTTTATTAATCCGGGGTCACCACAGCGGAATAACCCGCCAACTTATCCAGCAGGTTTTTACACAGCGGATGCCCTTCCAGTCGCAACCCATCTCTGGGAAACATCCACACACACATACACACACACGCATACTCTACGGACAATTTAGCCCACCCAATTCTACCCAAGTCTGCCTTCTAGTACAGGAGCCAATCAGTGATCGCTATAGAATGAAAGTTCTCTGGGGGAAGGGCTCAAACCAGACAGAGATCGTTGTTGTTTAACTTTATTGGTTATTCGTAATATGAAATGTAACCGTAAGCTTGGCAAGTAGTTTTGGAGAACTTGATGTTTCTCCATTCAAACAGAATGCCAGAGCATACTGCCCGAGAGGCGTTTCAAAGATGACCAACGTATGAAATGACTTGCCTTAAAATGACTTTGGTTTAACTAAAGAACAAATTAAAAAAACAAATTTTAATATTTTGAGTTATCAATGTAAAATCTATGTTGTCCAAATATATATATATACACTATAGTCTCTATAAGTTCTTCTCAGCTTGTTATGTTGGCGTGAGAAAGCCTAGTTAAACCTAGTTATACCATATGGTCTCCCATCCAGGTACTGACCAGGCCCTGCTAGCTGCAGTGAGTAACCGGTCTTTGGCTGCAGGGTGACATGGCTGTGGCCGACATTTGTGTGATTTAAGTTGTATCCTATATATTTTTTTAAATATACAAATAGTTTACCAGTTGAAGGTCAGCTTCTACTGTGGCAAACATGTTATGTGTATAATGATGATGCATTAATGATAACCACCACAGCAACCACAACAGATCACTGAGGGAGATGTGCTGAAGTACAGTACTGAGAGCCTAGAGGATGTACTGCAGGGAAAGCTTCAGATCTCTTCCCTTTAACGTGGCCGCCACATCACACAGCACCTGTTCATCTGTGTTGAGAGAGCATGCAGATTGCTGTGCAGATTACAGCTGGAACAGCCATTGCCTCTCATCTGGACTGTTTCCCTCAGTCCACCATACTCGTCCAAGCTTTCCTGGATGCATCAAACAGGTGTCAAATAGCTCAAATTACTCACATATTTACTCAAATAATGCCTCTTTGATAGCTTCTAGGTCTTTTGGTGGCCAGCGACTGAACTTTTTTTTTTATACGAATGGTCGACTTTATGGGAGCTATGATGACAGGTAGCCAGGGCGGTAAACTTGGCCCTCATCATCACCTGTCACCACAGCTAATAAGCTAATTCCTATGCGAGTTTAATGGAGCTCTGTGGCCTGAGGAAGAGGATATTGAAAAGGGACTATGAGCTTTTTTTCCCCCATCCGCTTCAAACATGACAACTTCAAAGGGCCTCTCTCTCTCTCTCTCTCTCTCTCTCTCTCTCTCTCACTTCTAATCTGATTTGTTCCTAACATATGAAGGTAGGAAGGACACAGAGCTACAGTGAAGATTTAAATGTACAGCAGGTGTATGCTAATCACAATAGACTGATTGATAACTTTCAACACTGATATACTGCGAAATTAAACAAAATGCATTCATTCATGAAGGCAAACTTCCTTCAAAAATGAAAACTTGCTATTAATTTCATTCACAGATGTAAAAGACGGTAGAACGATAAAATAATGAAACTCTGAGAATTTAATTGGTTACAAATTCTCTTATTTAAAACTATCAAATGAATGTAACTTTTACAGAAAACTGATAATTGTAGGTTTAGTGATTAAATGGCAGACAATTTTGTATTTAGGGACTGAGCATACTGAGCAATACTGCTCGGCCCTATTGGAATTGCTTTGTTTCTTCTTCTTCTTCTTCTTCATCTTATTATTCTCATGAATCGCCATTTTGAGGGTCTAAACATGCTCGAAATCTCACAAAACAAAAAAGTGTAACCCAAGCTCATTCTAAAGACGTAGCCCAGTGGACGTTTCTGGAGACCGCGATTTACATGGCCGGAGGTACGTATGGCCGCATTTAGTTTGCTACGGGGCGCTACGCTTCTCTTCTTAGAGCTTGCCGGCTGTGATGGCTCACTTCCATGTGGAGGGCTTTCCCGCCACAACCAGTTTGTCCGCTTAGCCATAGTGTTACGTTAGCGGAGCGGAGGCCCGGAGGAGGAGGAGCCACCCAGGGCGATGACCAGGTTTGAGTCCGGGGAAGAGCGGTTTCAGAAATCAGGTAAGATGAAAAACAGAATCCAAAAAATAAAAGTGAACGAGTTCGTGACGGGGCAAGAATGCGGCGAAATCCAAAAACTCTGCAAAAAATCGGATGAGGGCTTTTTTTTTTTTGACGGCTTTTGTAAATTGACGCTTGGGTTTAGGGAAGAAGGAGCAGGAGGGTGGCTGGGTCTGCCGAATGGCCGATCCGCCGGCCGCCCAGTCGATCATTTAGTCAGTCGGTCAGTCAGACAGACGGTCGCTCGACAGCGGCCTCCGGCATGTTTTTCACGCAAGAACAGCGCGGGCGCAAACAGCACGGGCGCGAACAGCGTGCGCTCCCGAGAGGCGTTCGAGACGCGAAAAAGGGTGGCACATCGGCCTCTCGCGGATTCGTGAAAACAAAAACTGCACAAATACGTACCTCCCGGGACGTATTTCGCGGTCTCCAGAAACATTCGCAGGGCTACGTTTCCACAATGAGCCTGGGTTAAAAAAGTGCCAGAAGTACTGAAAATGTACGTTTATTAAGTTTCGGAAGTGGGTGTGGCAAAATGGCTTGAAATCACGATCTATGCAGTTTTGACTTGGCTCCCGAGCTACATTTCATGCACACATACGAAAACTGGCACACACATCAAACATGGCAATACCTCCAAAAAATTCACTTGGAGCAAAATCTCAAACCCAACAGGAAGTCGGATGTTTTTTACTTCCTCTGCTAAAAAAGTGCAGTTTTTGCCATTTTCACTTATCGCATTTTAGAGTGCTTTCACAATAGCACTTTTGGTCCGCTCCCCGAGTTTGTTTGACGTCAAAGTACGGTATGTTTAGCTAGTATGAGCATGTCTTCTGAACTCGGGTGCGCACCCGTGAACCGTACCTGGGTCTGCCTGAAAGAGGTGGCATGTAAGCACACACACTGAAGTCTTCTTCCATGACAGAGAGCTGTCAATTACATTGTCCAGTAGACCACTGTTAAGCCCACCCCATGCTATCCCAAGAAACCAAAGTCAACCCTTAAAATACTTAAATTGTGAGGTGAAACATTTAATCGGATGTTTTATTAGTTTTAAGAAGCTCACAGTAGAGGAGTTAACATCTCCACTGCCACTAGTGCTACAAAGCCCAGTACAGAGTTAGCATCAACTCACTTTGAACATTGCACATTTCGACCAGATGCCGAGACATAAGCTAAAGGGCTTCATAAGCCCTTTGTCCCAGATCAATGGCAGAAAACTGTTTTTGAGTTAGTTTAGTTTAAACTTTATTGCCTGTTCTGTTTGGCACAGAAAGGAAATTTGTCTTTAAC